TATAATATGCCTCAAAGCCTGGAGCTTTGTCTCAGGCAAGGGCCACTGTTCCACCCAAACCAGGCTCCCTGGGGACCATCGGATTGCAGGATCTTCAGGAACAGCAGCCTCTAGGATTGGGGGTGGACCCGGGGAGACTCGGACTCCTCCCACCTGTAGTTTGAGAGGTGGTCAAGGGGGTGTCTAACCCTGTTCATTTCCTCATCATCAAGGAGCCCCTTAATAAACTCCCTATTGTCCGTGGTCACAAAAGTATCTGCCCCCCAGGAGGTCTCTCCCGAAGAGGTTGTAGGAAAGCCCCTCAGCTACCAAAGGTCTGATCTCCCCCTTAGTACCATCTGGGTCCTGTCAGAAAAGCCAGTTCTTAAGCTCCCATGATCGCATGGTGCCGCCGACACCCATCACCTGTGTGCCAGTCTCGAGGGGCCACCTTCCGGGGACTTCTTCCTTCCTCAGGATGGTCCTATCTGCCCTGGTGTCAATAACATCCCAGAAACTGCCCATCTATCAAGATGTCTATCTTAGGGCAGAGCCCTGGGATGATAGGGACCGTCCAGTGGGCTGTGGGCCCTCCAGGGCCTGTGCACCCTCCCCCTTTTGGTGACGGGGCTGAGGGTTGCCCCAAACCTAGTTTAAAGGTTTGCCCTCCACATCATACCTAGACCGGCAGTCCTTTTTCCAATGAAACCCCTTGTGGCAGCATGGGCATGGGGCCCTGAGCTTGTTCCCCTCCACCTTGAGAGGGGCTTTCCCTTGCTGGCAGTCTCTCTTTGTGTGTCTGGGCTGGCCACACCCAAAACATCTCTGGTCCTCAGCCCTGGGGTGCCTATCCTGCAGCCCAAGTTCTGTGAGTGCTTCTCTAAAGGCTCTAGCTAGAGCCTCTGTCTGTGTCTTGAGGACCGCGGCCATAGCCTCGGTCACCTTTGTTTTGGTCCCTATGTCCTTTGAGGCCATGACCCAGCTGCTCGTGGAATGGTCCTTTAACCCCACGCAGGCAACCTTATGGTTGGTGTTCACACCGTCCCATACTAGCATTTTTACGAACTGTTCTCTGAGTGGCCCAGGGGGAAACTTTCTCTTTAGACTCTTTTCAACCCTATCTACAAACTCATGTAATGGCTCCCCTGAGCTTTGATGGAGCCCCTATATGGGTGGCTCTGTAGGGCCTGTATCTAACTTATGCCAGGCCTTGAGGCTGAGGGCCCTGACCTGTCCCATATACGGTGGTGGAAGTGCTGCTGCTGGGTGCCCGTGGCAAAAGCCTCTGTAGTCCCTGTCAGCATACTGAAAGTGATAGGGACAGGGGGGTTGGCGGCACAGTTATTTTCTGCCTGGACCTGACATTCCTCTCAGTATAGTGCCACCCATTTAATAAACAAGGGGCTAGGGAGGACTGCCTTGGCTAGATCCATCCTGTCTTTGGCCATACAGGGCTGATATACCAAGCCCTGGAGAAGGGTGTTGACCCAGGGGAACCCAGGGCCATCCTCAGCCACTGCCTTCTTTAATTCTTTAAGATCTTTAGCCTCCCAAGGGTACCAGGCAGCCAGGCGCTGGGGTTCGGGGGTGATGTTTATGGGGAAAGCCTGTACCAGTCCCTTGGGAGCAGAGAGGCTAGATCCATCCAGTCTTTGGCCATACAGGGCTGATATACCAAGCCCTGGAGAAGGGTGTTGACCCAGGGGAACCCAGGGCCATCCTCAGCCACTGCCTTCTTTAATTCTTTAAGATCTTTAGCCTCCCAAGGGTACCAGGCGGCCGGGTGCTGGGGTCCAGGGTTGATGTTTATGGGGAAAGCCTGGACCAGTCCCATGGGAGTGGAGGGCTCCTCTCCCTCATCTTCATCCCGACTGCCCAGGGTCCCCCCTTTTTCTCCCCCACTCTCGTCACTCCCCCTTTCCAGATCTCTCCATAGCATGTGCTTTAGTTTCACTTTTGACCTTTGGGCTCTCTCCTCATCAAACGTGACCCATTGGTCTTCCCCTGCGGTATGCCTGGGGGTCAGATAGGGTTGAAAATATGACTTAAGGGCTGAGATCATGGGGAAGACGCAGACCTTCTTTGACAAGGAATCGGACTGTTTTAACCCCCTGGATCTCAACATGTGTCTCAGCGCCATAAGCACCGGGTCCTCACTCTTGCTCGTTGCATTACCCATCTCTTGGGGGTCTACTTCCCTCGACACTCCAAGACGCAGACCTTCTTTGACAAGGAATCGGACTGTTCTAACCCCCTGGATCTCAACATGTGTCTCAGCACCATGAGCACCGGGTCCTCACTCTTGCTCGTTGCATTACCCATCTCTTGGGGGTCTCACTTCCCTCGATACTCACCCAATTAGCCCCGGCGATCAGCTCCCGCAGCAGTCCGAGTGGTCGAGCCCCATGTTGGGCACCAGATGTCGGGGGTCCTGCCCCGACACAGGAGCTGGGGAAGGGAGGTGAGCTGTCCACCCGTTACCTGCAGCCTCCCCGGGAGACAATCAGATGCAACAGGGAGCCAGTCAAGCAGGAACTCATTTATTCCAGATGTTGCAGGGATTATGAAGGCAAAAACCACAAAGGAAAATCTCCTCCCCAACCAAGTGTCCAATCATGTTAAAGGTCAACTTGAGCATGCAGTCTCCTCTCCATAGCACAGCATAGCATTCACGAAGTGATCATGTGCTGCCAAGATTCACGGAAATGGCAGGAGCCAATCAGCGATTCTTCAAAACAAGTCTGGTCATGCCTTGGCCGTTTCCTCTAAGCGCCATCTTGCCCTGTCCTCGGCCTCAGGCCCCCTCAATCAATGAATGATGAGTATGTCAAAGAAGACAGCAAGAACCAAAAAAATATTCCTGGAACTAAATAAAAATATAGCACAACAAAATATCTGGGATATATTAAAAACAGTCCTAAGAGGGAAATTTATAGCTCTAAATGCCTGCATTAAAAAACCAGAAAGAACACAAATGAATATGTTAATCTGGAAAAGTAATTGAAATTGAAAAAAATCCTAAAATTCATATGGAATTACAAGAGACCCCAGATAGTCAAAGCAACTCTGAGCAAAAAGAGTAATGCCAGAGAGATCACTATATCAAATTTCACACAGTATTACAGAGCTATAGTCACAAAACCAGCATGGTAATGTTACAAACAGACATGTAGATTAATGAAACAAAAGACCCAAACATAAGTGCATGCAATTTCAGCCACCTAATATTTGACAAAAGTGACAAGAACACATACTAGAACAAAGACAGGATCACCAACAAGTGGTGCTGGTAATACTGCATCTCTGTGTGCAGAACAATGAAATTAGACCCATATCTATAACCTTGTACAGAAATAACCTGAAAAGTGATTAAAGACATGAGTGTGAACTTGAAATGCTGAAGTTGTTAGAAGAAAACACAGGCGTTAATCAGAAGACATTGGTGTTGGAAAAAGAATTTCTAAATCAGACTTAATTTGCTCAGGAATTAAGACCAAAAATTGACAAATGGGAACTCATTAAATCAAAAGCTTCTGTACAGTAAAGGAAACAACCAACTGATTGAAGAAGAAATCTACTCTGGGAAAAAAACCTTTGCCAGCTATACATCTGATAGAGGATTAATTTCCAGAGCATACAAAGAACTCTAAAACTAATCAATAAAACACATGACCCAATTGAAAAATGAGCTCCAGATCTGAACAGTGAGTTCTTAAGAGAAGAAATAAAAATGACTAGGAAATACCTTTAAAAATGTTCAAAATCTTTAGTAATTAGGGACATGCAAATTAAAACTAGTTGAAGATTTCATCTTACCCCAGCCAGAATGGCTAAGATAAAAAAATCAAATAACAAATACTTGCAAGGATGTGGGGGAAGGGGGAACTCTCATTTACTACTGATATAACTACAAGCTCTGCAGCCATTAAGGAAATCAGTGTGGAGAATTCTTTAAAAAAACTAAAAATAGCCGGGCATGGTGGCACACACAGAGGCAGGCAGATCTCTGTGAGTTCAAGGCCAGCCTGGTCTACATAGTGAGTTCCAGGACAGCTGGGGCTACAGGGAGACTCTGTCTCAAAAAGACAAAAAAAAAAAAACCCTTATAACAATAACTGACATTTACTGTCAGGCTCTTCTGTAAGAAATGCACAGACATTTATTTATCAAGTTCTGTTAGATGGGTACTTTACAACTTCTGTCTGATGGTGGAGGAAGGCATGGAGAAACTGGCTCATATTCAAAAATTTCCCTGATTAAAAAAAGACCAAAAAAAATAAAAAAACCTAAAAATATACCTACCATATGACCCAGCTATGCCATTCCTTGGCATGTACCTAAAGAACTTTGTATTTTACTATAGAGATACTTGCTCATCCATGTTTCTTGCTATTCTTTTCATGATAGCTAAGAATGTCTTTCAACCTGAAGATGAATGGATAATGAGGATATGGTACATTTACACAATGGAATGCTACTTGGTGGTAAAGAAAAACAAAATCATGAAATTTGCATGTAAATGGATGGATGGAGAAACTGTTATACTACCCAAGGAAACCCAGACTCAGGAAAATAAGCAGCACTACTTCTCACTCATTTGTGGGTTCTAATTTGAAAACCTTAGATGTGAGTATATATCCTGGTGTGATCATATGAAACAGGAAAATGGAAAGGAACCATGGGGGAGAGTAAAAGGAGGATGTAGAGAGATGAGGATGATAGGAGATAGGCATTATCTAGAGGAGATGGAGAAAATTAGGGGTACTTTAACTGGGGAAAGAGAAGGGAGTGTTATATACAGGGTAAGAGAGAAAAGAAAGATAAATAATACTTAGGTGTTGTAAAAAGGCAAAGGGACATGTAGCATTTAATAAGCTCCCTTAGAATCAGAAGATGCTATGCAAACTGCCAGTGGAGAAAACCAATCAGTGTCCTACCCAGCTGTAAATCCTATGAACCACAACAATGATGGGGACAGCAAACTATCTCTAATTGTGCAGTACTGGCACTTTTATCTCGTGGGGAATCAACAGTTGCCTAATTGGACTAAGGCCTGTTGAGTAGGAGGGAATGTATGCATAGTAGTATAAACATAGTTAAGTACACATGTTTGAAGAGGTTGTAGGCCTTAGAGAAGAACCACTATCTGTCACTTTCTTAGACCAATGTAATTCCTTAAGTATTCTGAATGCATTCCTTATATTAACAGACAATTGCACCTCTCACAATTCATCAGAGAAGCCTTTTTTTTTCTTCAACGGATGGAGACTATTACAAAGCTCCACTACTGGTCAAATGAAGAAAATGAATAACTATCAGATGTCCAGCCTTAAATGACCCATTTAAAATGCAAATATCTACACCCAAGGCTCAGGAAATTTTGCAGAATAGGGGGTGGAAAGATTCTATAAGACATAGGTACAAGACACACGCTGTTAGTTAATGTAATATAGACACAATGGGGAAGTTGCACCAATGAAATTTCTACAGTATGGTAGTCATACAAGATCTGCATAATGACAAATCTGAGATGAACTAGGAAACGTCACAGATTCCCACCTCATGGTGAAGAGCTACAGGTGAGGGAGGAAGAAACATGTTTCAAGGGACTGGTCCCTGAGAGGCCATCAAATCCTAAGTGGGCAGGCCTAAACAGAGCACTGATTGGACTCAGTAATATATATCATACACTCACACATAAGTGTGCATGCATGCACACACACACACACACACACACACACACACTAAAAATTGAGGACTATAAATTTAGAGGGAGTTGGGGGATGTAGGAGGATTTGGTGGGGGAACTGGGAGGGAAATAATGCAATTACAATGCCCATGTATCATATTTTCAAAAATAAAAGTAACATTAATGAAAGTTTCAGTTAAATCAAAATAAAATAGACATTCTTAGACACACAAATATAACAATATAGGAAATATTTTATCTACTATGTGATTTGGTGGAAAAACCATGTTTTTAGAATAATTGTTTGTGTATGGTTATGGGTGTGTGGGTTTCTCGGAACTCCAGCTGCTGGCTGGCACCTGTCTCTCCCGCGCCGCTGGAGAGGTCCCGCGTGCCACGTTGCTGGGGTGCGCGTGTGTCCCGCACCACGTTGCTGGGGCTCTCCTCGACTACTGGATGCTGGCGACTCTACTGATCACTGCGTTTCCAGGCGGGTTCCTTCCCAATCTACTGGGCACTCCCTCTGGGTTCGAGAATGTGGGTTTCTCGGAACTCCAGCTGCTGGCTGGCACCTGTCTCTCCCGCACCGCTGGAGAGGTCCCGCGCGCCGCGTTGCTGGGGTGCGCGTGTGTCACGCACCACGTTGCTGGGGCTGTCCTCGACTACTGGATGCTGGTGACTCTACTGATCACTGCATTTCCAGGCGGGTTCCTTCCCAATCTACTGGGCACTCCCTCTGGGTTCGAGATCCGTCAGCTGCCGGGTCACGAGGGGAGGTGC